GGCCCTGGGCGAGTGCCTCGGCCGCCCTGGACCTCGGTCTCCTGGGCTCGGTTGGGGCGGGGGGAGTTGTTGAAGGGCGGTCAAATGCGGACATTCACACGTAAATGTTCGGTTTCTTCTTTTTCTTTTTTCCCCTGGAAGTAGGTAACTTACAGATTTACAGACTCTGTCCTCTTTCAGCTTCAGGGCGGTCGAAGTTCTACGTGCGGGATCCGCCGAACGACAAACCCAACTGGCTGAAGGTTGGGTTGGCCTTCGGCACCTCCGGCTTCTTGTGGTTCCATGTAAGTGCTTGGCTTCCAGATGTCTTGAGACTCCAACACACTGAGACTCCCGTGGCAATGGGATATTTATGCAATCGCTAGCATGTTTCTCCACAAGGGACATCCCAAAAAGAAGTCAAAAGAAATTGAGGTTTCAGCGGCAGTAGAAAAAAGTCTGATGAGGCTGAAATTTTTATGTATGGAAAAACAGCATGGTTTGGTGGGGAATGGCAGTTTTGCTACATAGCGATTATAGTTTATTTCTTTTCTTTTCTTTTTTTTTTTTTTTTGAGTCAGAGTCTCACTCTGTCACCCAGGCTGGAGGGCAGTGGCATGCTGACGGCCACCGCAGCCTCAACCTGCTGGGCTCCGGCGATCCTTCCCCCCAAGCCTTCGGAGTAGCTGGAACTACAGGCACGGGCCACCATGCCCGGGTAATTTTTTGATTTATTGTAGAGATGAGGTCTTACCATGTCGCCCAGGCTGGTCTCAAACCCACGGGCTCACGCAAACCTTTCACCTTGGCCTCCCAGAGTGCTGGGATTACAGGTGTGAGCCACCACATCCGGCCTGAATGTTTTTCTTTACCTTGCCACATTTCTTTCTTTCTTTTTTTTTTTTTAATTTCTTATTTTAAAGATGTGGGGTACAATTCAGGGTTAGGTAACTTTGCCGAATTTCTAACTAAAGAACCTGGAGAGAGGCTTTTTATTAGCTATTTAGTGTGATTTGCCTTCCAGCCTGCTCTGGCATAACATCATGTAGCAGATAAAGAAGGAAAATCAAAGTATTTTGTGACCTTGTAAGCTGGCTTTTGGGGACTCTGGCATCTTTTTTTTTTTTTTTTGAGTTGGAGTCTCACTCCGTCGCCCAGACTGGAATGTAGTGGCCGCTTCCGGCCACCGCAGCCTCGACCTGCTGGGCTCCAATGATCCTTCCACCTCAGCCTTCCAAGTAGCTGGAACTACAGGCGCGTGCTACCACACCCGGCTAATTTTTGGATTTATTGTAGAGATGAGGTCTTGCCAAGTTGCCCAGGTGGGTTTCAAACCCGCGGGCTCAGGCAATCCACTCACCTCAGCCTCCCAAGGTGTGGGATTACAGACTGAGCCACCAAGCCCGGCTTGACTCTGGCATCTTCTAAGATACTTACCTGCTTTCTCCAAAATCTGCCACCATTCATAAAGCTTCATCTACATCTCAAGAAACTTGGCTTCCTTAATGTTCCTCAAGCTACCCGTTCTCTTTACTGCTTTTACAATTCCTTAGGTTACTCTAGCTGACTAATTGTCAGTCAGAAAAATCTTAGAATCTACCTATAACCTGTGGGTCTCCACTTGGAAATGTACTGCCTTCCCAGACCAAACCACTTAAATCTTACTTGTATTGATGTATGGTTTCCTATAATTTCTGTCCTCCTAAATGATATGTAACCAAGCTACAATTCAACCATGGCAGCCACACATTCTCAGGACCTCCCGGGGAATGATACCATGGACTTAGGTCACTCATATTTGGCCCAGAATAAATCATCTCACATATTTTACAGTTTATCCAGGCATAGTGGCTCATACTTGTAGTCCCAGCACTCTGGGAGGTCAAGCCAGGAGGATTGCTTGAGCCCAAGAGTTCAAGATCAGCCTGGGCAACATAGCAAGACGCCTGTCTCTAGAAAAAATAAAAAAATTAGTCAAGTGTGGTGGTGTGCACCTTCAGTCCCAGCTATCCGGAAGGCTGAGGTAGAAGGATCGCCTGAGCCCTGGAGGTCAAAGCTGTGGTGAACTGTGATTATGCCACTGCACTTCAGCCTGGGTGTCAGAATGGGACTCCAACTAAAAAATTTAAAAATTTACAGAGTTTGGCGTCTTTTGTCAACAGTACTATTATTGCTGATCCTTTACAAATTAAAAAACACACTTGGAGAAGGTAGTTTGCTGAACCCAATTCTCCCTGATGTCAGAGCTCACATAGGCCATTGTGATACACTGCCTGTGTAGAGTTAAAATTAATTTTTAATGTTAACTCCAGTAATCCCAGCACTTTGAGAGACCGAGGTGAGTGGATTGCCTGAACCTACGGGTTCGAGACCCACCTGGGCAACTTGGCGAGACCTCATCTCTACAATAAATCAAAAATTAGCCGGGCGTGGTAGTGCGCCCCTGTAGTTCCAGCTACTTGGAAGGCTGAGGCGGCAGGATCGTGGGCACCCAGCAGGTCAATGGTGAGGTGACTGTAAGTGAGAGGACACTTCAGCCTGGGCAACGGAGTGAGGCTCCAATAAAAATAAAATAAAATAAGATAATTAAGTTAGCTCAAAGTGTCTGCTATATTAGTATTTAAATTTTGTTTTGTACCTGATGGGTTGGGGCCTTGTCCACTGCCCCCCAGCTCTCAGATCTCTTACATTTTTTCCCATTAAAGAGGTTCAGATCTTGGACTTGAAAGGGGCAAGAGATTTTGAAAGTCACAATTTAACAACAGGAACTCATCCTTCTGAATAATGTGTTACAATCAAATTTTATGCATTCTTTTTTCTTTTTTTTGAATGTGGGTCTCACCATGTTGCCCAGGCTGGAGTGCTGTGGCACTATCACAGCTCACAGCAGCCTCGACCTCCTGGGCTCAGACGATCCTTCTGCCTCAGCCTCCCAAGTAGCTGAGACTACAGGCACGTGCCGCCACACCCACTAATTTTTCATTTTTCGTAGAGACGAGTTCGTACTGATCTCAAACTCCTGGACTCAAGCAGTCCTCTTGCCTCAGCCTCCCAGAGTGCTGAGATTACAGGAGTGAGCCACTGCACCCCGCCTGTGCTTTCTTAGTTTAGGATTTTTCCTAAACAGAAGCTTGACTGCTGCTGAGAGTACTCATGACTGAAATAAGACCGTTCACTGCTGTGGCTCTCATATCAACCATTATTCCAGCTGCATATTCTGTAGACAGTGGTTCTAAGAAAAGAGCTGTCCTCTATGACATCTCATTAGTACACATGTTGTTGGGGGTGAGTTGGTCATTCAATCACAATGTCAGACTTCTAAGATCAGAAGTACAGGCCAGGCTCTGTGGCTCAGCCTGTAATCCCATGCTTTGGGAGGCCAAGGTGAGTGGATTGCCTGAGCCCACGGGTTCGAGACCCGCCTGGGCAACTTGGCGAGATCTCATCTCTAATAAATTTAAAAAATCAGCCGGGCGTGGTAGTGCGTGCTTGTAGTTCCAGCTACTCAGAAGGCTGAGGTAGAAGGATCACCAGAGCCCAGCAGCTCGAGGCTGCGGTGGCCAGGAGTGGCCATTGCACTCCAGTCTGGGTGACAGAGTCAGATTCCAACTCAAAAAAAAAAAAACACATACCCACCAACCAGCCTGGCCCCCATTTAATAACCAAGTTCTGCTGTGTCATGTTAGTTTAGCGCCTCTCTGGTAAGGCATTTCATTATGTTTATTATCCACCAAGTGAAGTAGGTTTTTTTTTGTTTTTTTTTTTGGCAAAAGTTTAACTTTTAAGCACTGCATTTTCAAGTTCAGTATGTCAGATTGTGGTGAACAACTACACAAGTTCTTTCTAATTAGAATAGTTACTATTTTTTATCTGTCTTATTATTTTTATCTGTTTTAGTTCCTCTTGCAAAATACAAATATTAGGTAGCCTTTTCTTTAAGTTGCGAGGACAATGACATTTTTTGTTTAATTGTTTATAGCTCATCAAACAACATAATGAAGATATTTTAGAGTATAAAAGAAGAAATGGGTTGGAATAAACTTTTGAAATAGTAATACAGTAAGTATATACTTCTACAAGATGAACAGATTATGCAAGTTAATTTGACCTTTTTTAAAAATACTATAAAAAGACAAGCTGGTTGTTTTGATTTTTTATTAGGTTTACACATTTTAGCACCCATATTTTGGTCCTGACACAAATTTATGAATTTTAAATAACTCGGCTCAAGCATCTTTTCCCATAATCTTTTTTTATCATTGTTCTTTAACTCTGGTTTCAAAGAATGTTAGTTTATGAATGAAACCAGAATCATATTATTTTCTTAAATCTAGTAGCGCTGTACACCTTGCTTTCAGAGCACTAGTGACAAGTTATTATTCTTGCGTGTGTTTCTTAAAATCTGTTTGGCATATCCCACACTTGAGTGTGAATTCCATGAGAATAGGAACCTGTCTATTTTATTAATTGCTGTGTACGTAGCAACTTGCCTATCTGGCCCACCTGCAAGTTTAATATTTGTGGAATTGATGAATGCATAAGGGAAATAGACTTGTACATTTTAGCCATGTCATTACGATTGCCACTACAACTGATGTCTAGCTGGAAAATTCCTGGTAAAACCTAGCTGTGAACAAGATAACTCATTCTGCATGGTCTGTGACTTAAAAGAGAGAGGTAGTTTATTTAATATAAGCTTATACACACACACACACACACACACACACACACCATGTATGATGTATATTAGGTATATTTGTGAAAACCCCTTTAAAGAAATAATATATTAATCCTTTTGTAAAGTGAAAAATTACTCTTGAAAAATCTCAGCTTTCAGCTGGGCTCAGTGGCTCAGCCTGTAATCCCAGCACTAGGAGACCGAGGCGAGTGGATTGCCTGAGCCCACGGGTTCGAGACCAGCCTGGGCAACTTGGCGAGACTTCATCTCTACAATAAATTTTTTTAAAAATTAGCTGGGCATGGTAGCACATGCCTGTAGATCTGACTGCTTGGAAGTCCGAGGCGGAAGGATCGCCGGAGCCCAGCAGGATTGCCGGAGCCCAGCAGGTCGACGCTGGGGTGGCTGTGAGCATGCCACTGCACTCTAGCCTGGTGACGGAGTGAGACTCCAACTCAAAAAAAAAAAACACCAAAAACTCAGCTTTCATGATTGGGTTAATTAAAGTAAATTACTTCTATCTGCTAGATAATAAACAGAGTGATCACTGACTACACTTTGCTTTCCTCTTTAGTAGCTCCAACCCGACTCTTCGGGGTTGAGTTTCCAAATCTTTTGCTGTCGCTTTTCAGTTACCACCTTGCCCATTTCACTGCTCCAGTCAGTAAAGAGATAAAAATGAAATAGGCATTTCAGTCAAAGCCAGGTGGCTTTTGCTGTTCCTTCAAGCTTAGACAAAACATCTTTTGTCAAATTAGATCAAATGGTGTATTGTTACTCTTTGTGGATTTGTTTTCTAGACTTTTTCTGAGGCTCTAAATTAATTATTCAGAGCGGTTTAATGTTTAATATTATATCTGCTGGTTAATGCTGTAGTGTTAATTGTTTTTCCTCTTCGTTATAGGTCTGTTCCACAAACTGAGTATAGCAGTCCCTCTGGATTCACCATGTGCTGAGCTGTAAATGTGAAAGGAAGAGTCATGTGTAAATATGTGTCAAGTCAGCATTTGTGTTTTGCATCATTAAAGTTTTTAACAAGTCTGTATTCCTCAGATAGTGCATAGCGTGGCAACTTGTAGAAAAAGTCCATTCGGGGAACATTATTAGAAGTATTTTAGTACGGAAAGCACCTTCTGATAGCAGGGTCAGTGGAATTAAGGACGCCTGGGAGGAAAACGGGATGTGGAGAAGGAGTCAAAAGTCAGGGCTGGAGGGTTTGCTCGTCTCGTCGGCTTTGCATTCCTCATCTGAACACGTCTCTTTAGCATATCAAGAAGGCAGAACTACTTTATTACTCAAAAGTACAAAAGATCCCAAAGATTGTTTTCTTCCAGAGGAGCCATTTTGGTAAGCTATAAAGTCAAGATGAATCCTGTTACCAGACTTTCTTCTGACTCAGTATCCTTGAATTGGAATGGTTTCCATTTGGGTGGCTGCTTTTACTTACTGTTACAGCAACAGGAAATCTGTTGTCCTATTTTGCTAATACAACGTTCCTGTAGTGAGTTGGCAAGCTCTTGGTTTTTAAAAAAAGTGGGGGGGGTTTAAGGGCTTATAGACACAATTTAAAATACACTTGACCCTTGAACAATGTGGGGGTTAAGAGCACTGACCCCATGAGCAGTCAAAAATCCATGTACAACTTTTGACTCCCCAAAGACTTAACTTTTTTTTTTTTTTGAGTTAGAGTCTCTGTTGCCCAGGCTGGAGCGCATCAGCATGCTCACGGCCACCATAGTCTTGACTGCTGGGCTCAGGTGATCCTTCCACCTCAGCCTTCCCAAGTAGCTGGAACCACAGGCATGTACTACCATGCTTGGCTGAGTTTTTTATTTATTGTAGAGACAAGGTCTCTCCATGTTGCCCAGGCTGGTCTCAAACCCCTGAGCTCAAGTAATCCTCTTGCCTCCACCTCCCAAAGCGCTGGGATTACAGGTGTGAGCCACCGTGCCCGGCTAAGACCTAACTATTAATAGCCTACTGTTCACTGGGAGCCTTACCAATAACATAAATGGTCAATTAACACATATTGTGTATGCTATATGTAATATATACTGTATGCTTAAGCTAGAGAAAAGAAAATGTTATTTAGAAAAACATGGGCCAGGCACCGTGACTCACTCCTGTAATTTCAGCATTTTGGGAGGCCTAGGTGGAAGGATCTCTTGAGCTCAGGAGTTCAAGACCAACCTAGACAACATAGTGAGACCTTGTCTCTACAAAATAAATTAGGCTTGGTGGCACGTGCCTGTAGTTCCAGCTACTTAGGAGGCTGAGGCAGGAGGATCACCTGAGCCCAGGAAGTCAAAGTTGTGAGCCACGATCATGCCACTGCTTTGTAGTCTGGGCAACACAGTGAGACCACACTCAAAAAAAGATAAAATATGTTTACTATTCATTAAGTAGAAGGAGATCAAAATAAAGATCTTCATCATCTTCACTGAGTAGGCTGAGGAAAAATGGGAGAGTGGCAGTTACTATCTCAGGGGTGGCAGAAGAAAATCTGTGGATTCTTGTGAATAATTTAAAGCATACACCACTTCATTAATTTGCAGTTTGAACACTTGGTGTACTACACGCTTAAAAATTAATTTTGTATGTCTTTGTTCTGACATTAAATGGAAAAATTCAGTCTTAAGATTGGTTTTGTGTGTGTTTTGGACTCTGGCCAACACTTACTCTGGGTAATCACAATCAGTAGCTTTAGAAGTCACTTCTGAGCCGGGCTCGATGGCTCAGCCTGTAATCCCAGCGCTTTGGGAGGCTCAGGTGAGTGGATTGCCTGAGCCCGCGGGCTCGAGACCTGCCTGGGCAACTTGGCAAGACCTCATCTCTACAATAAATAAAAAATTAGCCGGGCGTGGTAGGGCGTGCCTGTAGTTCCAGCTACTTGGAAGGCTGAGGCGGAAGGATCGCCAGAGCCCAGCAGGTCGACGCTGCGGTGGCCGGGAGCGGCCACTGCACTCCAGTCTGGGCGACGGAGTAAGACTCCAACTCAAAAAAAAAAAAAAATCACTTCTGGACATAAATTCAGAGTTACATTATTTCAGAATATTTCATCCAAACTCAATGAAAATAATAAGCACTAACTTGTCAGCTTGGGTGCTAGCCATTAGAACCAGAAAGGACCTTGGAGATCATATAAAACCAGTCTCAATTTCACAAATGCAGAAGCCAGGGATCAAGAGTGATTGGCCCAACATCACTGTGGTGGGTAGAAGAATGGACCGCTAGAGACATACGTGTCCTACCCTAGGACATGTGTATGTCAGGCTGTGAGACAATTAAGACTGCAGATGGAATTAACATTTGCTGATCAGCAGACATTGCGATGGGGAGATTTCCCTGGATTATCCCGGTGGGCCCAGTGTAAGCACAAGGCGCTTATAAGTGGAAGAGAGGTACAAGAGCATGTTGGAGTGACACCCGGTCAGAAGGTCAACCTGCCATTGCTTCTTTGAAGATGAACAGAAGCTAAAAGCCAAGGAATACCAAGAAAACAAATCCCGCCCCCCCCAGAGCCTCCAGAAGGGAGCACACCCCTGCTACACCTTGATTTCAGTCCATTGAGAGCTGTCAGATTTCTCATCTACACAACGGCAAGAAAATACAGAACCGATAGCCACAATATAAAACTAACACAAACCAGAGGTCAGGTATCAAACTCCCAGTTCAGGGCACGTTTCACTGAAAGAAATTTCAAAGGTCTTGTCTCTAAAGGGAACAGAAAGTGTCAAGACACTTGGAATCTGGGAAACTGATAAACTTAGGAGGAAATAAAATACATAATGAACAGCATGCATGGATGTAGGGCTTTGGGAACATAACTGCCCTCTGTGGACCTTCCTTGAGCCAGGGGATCCTTCACAAAGACCAGGGCTGTCCAAGAGCCTTCTGCAATGATGGGAACATTCTGGCCGTCCATTACAGTAACTGCTAGTCCCAAGTGGTCATGGAGCACTGGGAATGTGACTGAATTTTTATTTATTTATTTATTTATTTATTTATTTTTTGAGTTGGAGTCTCACTCTGTCG